GAAGAGTACACAGTATACCTAGGATATAAGAATTTACAGATGCTTTGATGAGTTAAGTCCGAAACAATCTTCCACTTAATATACTGTGTACTATGATAAAGAATGAAGAAAAAAAAATACGGGGAACAGTATAGAAAGTGTAATGATTAAAATTTAGATGTAAAGATGCATATGAAGCGTGCATGCAAACTGTTAAACTGCATATTACACACAGAGGCAGAGAGAAGTAAAAACATGATATTTATAGTGGTCTGGATAAACTTTGTCATACGATACTCCTTGGAGCACCTCTCTGAGCATTCACCGTTAACATCGATGTTAATTTCTTTCCACAACTAGAACTATTCGATCAACTGTATAAATTTTACTTGAAAATTATAGTCTGTTCAAATATAGAGTATGAATATATGCATACTTTGCTTCCTCTTTCACAGTGTTACTGAGAAATCTGTCCCCCCTCCTCCCTGCCTCCCTCTTATACTTGTTTGAAATTGTTCTTTCTTTTTCTTTTTGTTTCTCTAGATTCCCAGTCCTTTCATTATTGCTATCCTGTCTGAATACTTAGGTTCTTACAGTCCACCTTCAAACTTTTTCGAAACAACAATTTACGATAAATTTTTAATGTTTTATTCAAATAATTCCATTACAATTTAGAGAATACCAATTAAGTATTGGAAAAATCCAATATAATTGTGTTCAACTTGGATGTATCCAATGATAATAACAGGATTATGTTCCTCCTCGAGAAAAAAGGGCAGTCGAGTTGTATTTGTCCTACACATGTTCTGAAATGGGATCTTCGAATATCTGAAGTTTTCTCAAGTATATGATCGTTACAAAGAGTCTTGAGAAACTTTTGGATAGCAGCAAAAGTAACATCTACCTATAGATTCTGTTCACAAAAAACATGACATGATAAGCTCATGCTCTTCAGATGCCTTCTGCGCCTATGAGAATCTAAACTTCTGGATTTTAATGATCTATTCTTGATTGGTCTTACTCCATTTTAGGTTCAGATCAGTTGTCTGGCTCTTCGGATGACTACAAACAATCTATTAATAAGTTTCTCATCTGATCTCTTATACGAACTCATTTCTTTAATTCATAACTTTGGAGGTGTGGTCTGCAAACACAAATTTCATCCGCTATATATGTTATCAATTTGATCTATTATATTAGAATCGAATCTAACTATTAAATCAATTTTGATTCACATTGCAACATATATGGCAGGCTTCAACTCTTAAATACCATGAAAATTACTCTTTAGGATAACTTGATCCTCCATTGTGATCCAGCTAATGATTTTACTGTCCGCATTCTGACTATTATTTGTTTTAGTTTCTAACTTGTGATTTATCTTTACCACTATCCTTTTCAACTAAAACTATGCCTTCAACACGACATATACAATGGAACTCATCTTTGGAAGATGAATAAAAATTGATGTAAAATGATTTGTTCTGCATGTCCTGTTACTCTATTGCTTTTGTTTTTCACTATGTTAAGGTGAGGTTCGTCCCCCTTGTATGTAATAACACTTTGGAGTGTGTTTGAAAGGGCTTTTCCAAAGCCTAAAAGCTCTTGAAGCACTTTGTGGAGGTCAAAAGTGCTTTTGTTTCTAATATTGGTTTCAAGAAGAAACCAATATTTGAGAAGAAGAAAAACAGCTTAAAAAAGCTGTTTAAAGTTGTTTTTGAGAAGCCCAAATTTTGAGCTTCTCTAAAAGCTTTAATTGAGCTTTTAGACGAAATTGTAATTTACGTTAGTGAACCAAAAAAAAAAAAGAAAGAAAACTTTCTTACCCAATTAAAATAAGTATTAAGTTTATACAAAAGCACCTTTTGGATTCACAAGCAAACAGTCAATGACTTTTTAATAAAAGCTCTACTTCTAGAAGCTTTACTCTCACTAGATGTGCCTAACGGACCCATAAATGCTTTCATTTTGAGCACTGGTTGCAGCTTCTTATAAATCATTTGGAGCCGCTTACTGAGCAGCAGTCATCATCTATCAACAACTTGCAACAATCATCACAACAGGCTGAAGATGCCTTGTCACAGGGAATGGAGGCGTTGCAGCAGTCCTTGGCTGAGACTCTGGCAGGATCTCTTGGCCCCTCAGCTTCGTCAGGAAATGTTGCCAACTACATGGGTCAAATGGCAATGGCTATGGGAAAGTTAGGAACTCTTGAGGGCTTCATTCGTCAGGTCAGTCTATGCATCATGTAATTATAAAGAAAATGATCATTTTTGTGTCAAATCAGTGTCGAAATCCTCCTGCATTTCATTATTGTCCCTGTTCCAATTTTCTTTTGATGATTTGTCGCTGTTCTTTCAATGCAAGATAAATTCCGCACTGTACATTATATAAATTGTAAGGATGAAGAACAGTAGCCCAACGATTGTATTAGTCCTAACCCGCCATGCATCATGTTCAATTGTGTGAATAGATTAGATCCATTGCTTGGGCACATGGGATTATATTATGTAGATTTAAACAGCCTCATTGCATAATTCTATCTCCATCAATTAACATATTGATGATGGAAACCCTGAAGTGCAGGCTGATAATTTGCGGCAACAGACTTTGCAACATATGCACCGTACACTGACAACTCGCCAGTCAGCTCGTGCTCTTCTTGCAATCAATGACTATTTCTCTCGGCTTAGAGCACTTAGCAGTCTTTGGCTCGCCCGTCCAAGGGAGTGAGATCTATATGCTTAACTTTAATACTGGCTTCAAATACTGTGGGTATTGCCTTGATTTCAATGCCGCATTCTTCCATCTTCATCAATGTGTGACCAATGGTGCTGATTCCTGCCTCTCCAAAGTTTGTATGAATCTTGTGTTGTATGATTTTTTTATTTTGAGTTGGTCATATGTAATTTAATTACTGCCAAGGTTAATGAAAGTTGAAAAAATTAGTGACTGCAGTTTCATTGCAATTGGTTGAACCTTCAATTTTTATGTGGAATTGGATCTCCCTCCCACGTGTCCTTTAAGAAAAACTTAATATGAGAAGAAATAAAGGAGGTCAGACAACCTCTAAGGCTAAGAGCATATTATGTAATTTAGAGAGCATCAAGAGAGAATTTTTAAATACTTCAACGACCTCTTTATCTTGAATGCTAATTTTACCACTCTTAATAGATATATTTTTTTTTCGAGTTTTAATCTTCTTCAATTTTTCTTCAAATTATGATATTTTTTCTTCCATTTTCTTTGTAAATACTATTTAATTGTATGGAGCATTGGAAATTAAAACATTTTTGAATGCATTTAATTATCGAGGGTGGATTTAATCAAAGTCCAATTTACTTTTTATTTTAAAATGTTATAGAATTGTATAGGATAATATAGGGTTTGATTTGTGGAGACGAGCGATTTTTTTTTTTGTTGGGCATTCTTCCTCTTATATCACAATCACAAAAAAGATTATTTGTGCAAATTGATGCATTAAATTACAATATTTATTCGTTTTTACGGAGTCGGTAACGGTAAGAAAAAAAATTACATATCATGTAAATTTAATCACGAGCAAATTAAAAAATACAGGGACGTAATATGATTGTTGCACGAATTGTAATATGAAGTATACAGACAAATAAATCACGATATTATATGATTATTACACAATTGCAAGTTACAATGTGAAAAAATTACACTGTAAAAAATAATCATTTAGTGTAATATGTGTTCTAATTGTAAAATATTTAACAAAAAATATTTTTCAATTCAGCCCTCTATTTTTCCCTATTTATGTAAAGTGCCCCTTTTATTTTGATCAAAACCCGAAAGATCATCTTCCTGGGCCTAAAATGGGAACTTGGAGTGGGCTGAGAATCTTCGTGGGCTAGTTTTATGCAAAATGGGCCAATCAGAAAAGGAACCAAGACTGTGCTTCACTCTCAACGAGGGTTTGTGGTAGTGGTGGGGGAGAAGGGAAGAGCAGTTGGAGCGAGGAGATCAAAGAATAGAGAGTTGAATTGAAAGTAGATACAGAAAAGTGGAATATAAGTTTAATTCTTAGCAGTAATCGATGTGGTTGGGCGGGAGAAATGGAGCAATTGCAAATGCAGGCAATACAATGATGAGGTACTTCTCTTCGAGCTCGCGGAAGCGCGCACCTAATCTAAGAAAGATAAACCCTAAGGTGCCGTTTCAGGAGGCTGCCTCCATTGCTGAAGGACTGTATCACGTCATCAAGAACCACGGCCCACTCACCATCTCCAACACTTGGAACCACGCCAAGGTTAGCTACCCACATATTGGAAATCAGCTTCTTATTTTTTTCTGTTTTTTGTGTATGCTTATAGCTGTTTTGAAAATAGAAATTGAATCTTGATAAAGCTGGGTGCTATTTAACTCAGCAAGGATTTAAATTTATTTATTTATTTGGACCTCATGTCCTGCAATTCTGAAGCTCCAATAATGTTATTTTTTTGTATCAATTGATACTAGCAAATAAATACTTAGGAACAGTTGGAGAGTAAATCCAAATGAAGAAATACAGATCTTTTCGTCATTTTATCCTTGCTTCTGATACATTGCTTCTATATATTTTAGCTGTGTAGCTTTAACTAGAAAGATTTTGACACAAATATGAATAGTTTTTGGTCCTGCTTCGTATTGGATCTCGTGTTGAATGGTTTATTATTATGCCCAAGAGTCCTTAACCTTGCATTAGAAGTGGTAAGAGTAGAAGCAGGTGAACTAGGTCTTAAATAAAGAATCTGCCTCAAAACTAAAAACAAAGAGTAAGAGTGTCGATTGCGGGGTAAATGGTTATGTTTTCTTGGCTCCACATTCTTATTCTTTTTGAGTAATTGTGTAGTATCATCTACGTATGACCATGTTGTTTGGTGTTGTTTTATGCGAGTACAGATATCTGCATGAATGGAGATGTAAAAATGGAAATATAAAGGAAAAAGCATACTAGCATAGATCTTTCATTTGGCGACGCTATAAATATAAAAAAAATTTCTTTTCATTCAGCTGATTCCCTCAAATCAAATCGTTAAGGCCTTTGAAAGCCGTTGTTCCATTTTTTCCACTGCACCCAATTACCATCTTCCTAGGCTATCTGCATCTTATCAGCCCACCTTTCCATTCTGCTAAATCTCAGCACCGATGAAACATGAACATGGTCGTTGGACAGTTGTAGCTTTGACATTTCCCAAAATTGAAGGACACATACTTCTAGTTAAAAGCTACACAAGCTATGAGTAGGTTTTTGATTCTTGAATTGGATTATTTAATGAGAACGGGAAAAAATAGTTGATAGAATTTTCCGTATCATATATTTTCATCAAATGAAATCTATAAAAGAAAAATATGTTGATTCCAAATTGAAGGTGTTGAATACTGAAGGGCATATGCTCATGTTTAGGTTAGAGGGTTAGTATATCCCCTCCCCTCTCCCTACCTCTACACAAAGAAGCTTTGTAAGCACCAGAGCAGCTATGATGAAATATTTACTAGTAGACTGCTATGTTTGTTTCCTGTTTTATGCTTTTGGTAAGTATTCGAATTGCTGATGTTCCACACATATTTCCTTGATTAAAATAGATTTTCATCTGATGTGTTTTGTCCAAAAATTTACTAAAGGTTAGTCATTACTTGATCGTAACACGCTCTTATGATTAATACAGGATGCTGGAATTAGTGGATTAAGCAGTAAAACGCACATGAAGATAATGCTTCAATGGATGAGGGGCAGAAATATGCTGAAGCTCTTCTGTCATAACGTAGGCTCTAGCAAGAAGTTCCTGCTGTCTACACTACCTGAAGAACCCCAAACCAACCAGTTAAACAGCTCCATGGAATCCATGGAACTGAAGCCGAAGACTGGAAAGCCTTCAACGAAGAAGAGGAAATAAACGAAATAATGTGTTGACTTCAGAGACGAAAGACACTAGTGCAAAACTGTTTAATGAGAATTTATTGAGGTCTAGGAATACTTGCATTAAAATGCCCTTTACTTGCTTTTTTTCTGGATTGAGACTTTGGGATGCATCAGTCATTTAAACGATGGATTTGCTAGAACTTCATTCTCTGCCAAGACTTGTATATTCGATTGGTCTGGATTCTTTGCTTACACAATTGCCTTTTCAATTCAAAGACGGTCTAATTTGCTTTTCAGGAATACAATTTACTTATTGTCAAATCTGTTTTGCTATTGTTTGTAGGACTGCCTCTTTTTTGGATTAAGAAGAAATATTCTGTAGCATAATTAACATCCAACGAGTCACTAGTACTACATAAACCTTATCTCACTGAAATCGTTGAGTTTACTATGGCTTGTGGGATTTAGGAAATTCACCGTGGATGTTATTACTGTCTTGCGGAGCATTCGATTTAACTCAGGGATACCTTAGACTCTGAATGATTGCTGATCTCATGGTATGTAAAAAATCCAAAGCTAAGACGACGTGCCATTTTTTCTTTGGCGCAGACAAACTGTCCCTTCTGTTTTCGAGTAAAGATAATTAATTGCTTGTTTAAAATTTAAAATGGTAATTAGGACCTTTTGACAATTTCAACTTTTTTCATTATCATCTTTATTTGATGGTTAAATTCTATATAACTACTCAAATAAATGTACCACGTGATTTTGGAAAATGGTGTGAATAAAATTGACGGATTAATGGAGTTTTGAGGTCTGAAAGTGTTGACCAAAGCTTAGCAAAGAAGTCGAATGAATGGAATGATGCTTTGAGGAAATTAGACTTGAACACGTACATGAAGGGATCACAATAGGAGTCACAGCGTGTAAAAGATCCACTTCGATATTCTCTTTACAAAATGTCTTTGAATTTTTTGTCATTGGTCCGAGTGGTAGTGGCATGTGATGTATAGAAAACACAAAACATATGTAAAGAAGAATTAAGCTATTTTTATACCCATGGTGTAAAACTAATTTGACACCCTTTGAGGTATCAAAATTGAAGTCATTGATTTGAATAAATGTTGTTGATGGTAGAAACTTTACACGCCTGAGCTCAAGGTCATTGCCTGATCTTACGTGTCCATGATTGCACCAATTATGAGGTCGGGCATAGGGATGAGGTCGGGCTTTGACGTGAGGTCGAGTATCTGTTGTCCTCGTGCATTCCACTTGACCCCATCTTACGTCACTAAGAAACGATAATCCTTTTTTAGTTAACTCTCCTATTTAGATGCGCAATCTCAATCTATTATAAATTCAACTCTAGCTCGAATTGCGCGCTCCTAACACAACACAAATACCTTGTGCAACAAGGATAAGAACTACGGGAGATTGAATCCTTGTAGGACTCCATCTCCAATATCTATAAATGCATAACTTAGCCTCATTATTCATGTACGTCTTACATAATATTCCAGCATACAATATTCGATGTAATTTCTCTTTCTAACTTAAGTATCGGAGGGACGGCGAGAACATACATCGACGCCTTTGTTTCTGGTATTGAAGATTAGATCGTGCAGAGTTCAACCATCCAATTCGAGTTCATCTAAGTACGAATTTTTGGTAGCATCATTGGTGCCATCTGTGGGAAACGCTACTAGAAGCTATGGTTAACAACGTTCATGACATCTTCTAGTGAGCTCATCCTTTCCTAACCAACCCCCCCACCGGAGACCATCCGGGTCCCCAGGAGATATCATCCGAAAAATCACCACACCCGTCTGTAACAGTTGCTCCAGAGTGCTTGAGGAACTCTGCCAGTAGGTGGCCACGCTTACTCAGCTATTACATCAGAGAGGCACACCTCCAGTACCGTCCCTGCAAAGTGGTCTTATGGCTGATGATTGGGCCCCCGGCCTCAGCCATGGTGATGTCAGAGCCCCGGACGCACAGCGTATCCCCGTAGGTTCGAGATCAATTACTATGAACTCGATGATCTTGCACGGATCATCCAGGAAGGAATCACGACCGGAATGCTACAGAAGTCTCAGACAGCAACATGATCACCCTTAACATGCATTTTACTTCTGAAGTATTATCATACTCCTACTAGATCGATTTAAGTACCCTCGGGTGAAGGAGTATGATGGGACGACTGACCCCATCAATCATCTCAACATGTACACGGATATCATGAAATTGCAGGCCACACCTGATGCTATAATGTGCAATGCCTTTCCTCAGACACTTACCAACGCAGTCAGAGACTGGTTCTCTCCACATTGGAACCTAACTCTATATCCACCTTTTCGGACCTGGCTGACAAGTTCTTCGTGTTCATTGAAAGTTGTAAGCGCATCAGGAAGATAGCCGCACCACTTAAGTAGATACGCCAGGGACCTAACGAGACACTTTGCAATTTCATGACAAGGTTTAATAAGGAAAGACTTATGATCCCCGATCTACAGATCACAGTTGCAGTCCTGCCCTAACATATGCCGTAAGATGTGAGGCGTTTAAGATGTCTTTGTCAAAGACCCTTCCCAATTCGATAACCGACCTACTAACTCGAGCTGAGAAATACATCAACATGGAGGAGACCATGTTTCCAAGAAGAGATGCCCTACCATTAAAGAAGCTTGTCACTAAAGAGGCCACATGAGTTCAACCAGGCCCCGGACCCTTTCCAAAGCAAACAAAGGCAAGACCCTCNTAGAGGGGTTTTCTGGTCACATACGTCAGTCAAGAAAAGCATCAACGTATCAATCAAAATAGGGGTAAGGCGCTTGAAGATGGGGGAGATAAGCAACCAACCGCAGTGACTATTAATATCATTGTTGGAGGAATGGCCTCATTAGGGGACTCCAACAGTGGGCATAAGCAGTACGCCAGGCAATACCACTCAACCTCAAGCTTGGATCTCGGTGATGTGGGAGACATCACCTTCGGGTTAAAGGACTTAAATGGCGTGTCTTTTCCTTATGATGATGGTCATATCGTCGATCATTGCTAATTTTGAGGTAAGGAAAATTCTGGTGGATAATGGAAGCGCAACTAACGTACTGTCCCAAGAGACTTTCGTTCAGATGGGTATATCAGTTGAGCAGCTCAAGCCAGTCAAAACCCCCATTCACGGTTTCGGAGGTAGTGTTGTCATTCTGAAAGGTATTGTTGGGTTACCTCTCACCTTGGGATCAGAAGGGAATCGGGTTACGCATATCACAACATTTCAAGTAGTTCGTGCTCCTATGACCTACTACGCCATACTTGGAAGGCCCTTGTTGAACAGAATCAAGGCGATTGTCTTAACTTTTCACCTGGCAGTGAAATTTCCTACTAGTAATGGGGTCGGGGTAGTCGGAGGGAGTCAAACCATAGCGAGACAGTGCTATGTTACCAGTGTATGGGAGATCAAGGATGATGTCATGCAACTATCAGAGGTCGAGCTAGACCTTGAACATCATGGGAGGCTTGCCCCAGTAGAAGAGATGGATGAAGTCGAGATCGAGCCTGACAGGAAAGTTACCATTGGTCGAGATCTTGATGATATGACTAAGGCCCACCTAATAAGTTGTTTGTCACGTAACATTGATGTATTCGCTTGGAATGTTGAGGACATGCCTGGAATTGACCCTGAAGTAGCAGTGCACAAGCTCAACATAAACCCAGATGCAAAACCAGTGAAGCAGAGGAGGAGGCAGTTTGCGCCAGAGCGGCGGGAAGTAATACGCGAGGAAATTGCAAAGCTCATTAATGCGATATTTATTCGAGAAGTCCAATATCCTGATTGGCTTGCCAACGTTGTTCTTGTCAAGAAAGCTAATGGGAAGTGGCGAGTTTGCATCGACTTCATAGACCTGAAAAAAGCATGCCCTAAGGACAACTACCCCCTCCCTCGAATTGATAATCTTGTAGATAGCACCTTAGGTCATAAATTATACAGCTTCTTGATGCCTTCTATGGATATCATGAGATTCTTAAGTCAGAAGAAGATCAAGAGAAGACCTCATTTATGGCTGATTCAGTCATTTACTGTTATAGAGTCATGCCATTCGATTTGAAGAATGCATGAGCTACATATCTAAGACTTGTTAAAAAGATCTTTGCAGATTTGATAGGGAAGAACATCAAGGCGTACATGGATGACATGGTCGTTAAAAGCAAGCAAGTGGATCACCATATCTCCGACCTTGAAGAGGTCTTTGTTACCATGCGGAAGTACAAATGAAGCTGAACCCCACAAAATGTGCATTTGTGGTGGTTTTAGGCAAGTTTTTAGGATTCATGATCACACATAGGGGAATATAGGCCTATCCTGACAAGATTCAGGCTTTGATATCAATGGAACCTCCAAGTTGCAAGAAGGACATACAGAAATTAACAGGTCGTGTAGCCTTGAACAGATTTATATCCCGAGCAGCAGACAGATGCCTCCCCTTTTTTAAAGTCCTAAGGGGCAATCTGGCCTTCGATTGGAGTGAGGAATGTGATTTAGCATTTTGAGAGCTGAAGCAAACACTAGCAACAGCCCCAATCCTCACCACGCCTGAACTTGGTGACACGTTATCATTATACTTGGCTGTTTCTGATAACGCAGTAAGTGGAGTGTTGGTGAAGGAAATTGGAAAGGTCCAGCGACCTATCTACTATGTGAGTAAAGTGCTTCTCGATGCTGAAACTCGGTACACGTTGGCTGAACAACTTGCACTTGCCTTGGTATGCCTCGGGGAGTGGAAGATGGGCGTCCTCTTCCGGATCTATTATCTCAGGTATGCCTCGGGGAGTGGAGGCACGAGATGGAGGACAGGGCGAGGGCTAAGGAAGTGATGTTGGGCTCTTGGAGGATTGCCCGAGCTCGTTGGGAATTTTGCTCGATGATGGCTCTCGAGCTCTCTTTTTCCTTTTGATGGGGCGGACACCTTGGGCTTTGGGCCCATAGCCTTCTGGTTAACATTGGCAAGAAGAACAACTGGGTTGAAAGACATCTTC